TTAAAGGAGATGTGAGCTTTAAGTTTAACAGGATTGGCCAAATAAAGAATTACTAATTTGTCAAATATATTACCCTTAAGGATAAGAGATGAATGGTGGTTTGTTGTTGCTATAATTGTTTTTCTTTGATTACTGGTGAGTTTGATATCTTTCTGTGTTGTTATTGTCCATTTGTATTGTTTTCTGGATCGTATCCTTTGAACATGATTCTATTGGCTTATAATTTTTCCTTGTAGATTTGTTAGAAGTTTGTATTTTAAAGCTATTAACTCTAATCAACAGGTGGCTCCTGTGTGCAGCAGGGAACAGAACACTGGAAACTCTCTAGGTCTCGTGTAGTTCATATTCTTGGTAGGGAGAGGCAGGTCAAAGAGAACAAAAAACTTTTAACGTATAGTATGTTAGCTGGTGATGAGCGATGTGGAGAAAACAAAGCAGAAAAGGGAGAAGTTGATAAGATGGCAGCAACTCGCTGAAAATGTATCATTAGAGTATAGGCCCGAAAGGTGGCGATGAGGAAGGTGATGACGCCCCCTTTATCCATGAGAAAGAGGCTTGTGTTCTAACTTAGACAGGAACTGTGTAGATAAAGGTAAACGGAAAGGATGGCCACCGGAAAAGCTTTCAAGTAGTTATAAGTAGCTATTTTCACAAATATATGGGGAAACATTTAACTGAGTGGTGAGAGTTAAGAGTCAAGACTTTTCAGATAGAATGGAGAAGTTACAAGATTTTTTCTGTTTCGTGGAGGTTTCCTAGAGAAAGAGAAACTCTAGGAATTATTCAAGGAGAAAAAAAGAGCACCCCTTAGTAAGTTTTTTTGGTTGTTTGTTTTAGATTGATATACAACTTAGAGAACGGTTGCCATAGAATTTGATACTTGTAGTAGAGTAATGGTGTAGCCAAGAAAACCATCTGGGGATAGGACGAGAGTGGAAAATCCTGGAGGAGGTCGTTGGAATCTTGGCTGTGAACTTTACTTTTTTTGACATTGTGTCGGGGGCTTCATGGGAGAGGAAACGATGGAGGTGATGATGCCACACGGATGATCATTAGAAGCAGGAAGTACAAGAAGATATTTCTGGGAGGCATTGATAAAACATTATTCCTGTACAGCAGATTTTCATGCTATTTTCTTTACTTCAAAGCCATTTAGACCTTCTACAGTATCATGTAGTATTTGTGAACGTATCTGTCTCCCAGGAGCGTTGGATCGCTGCGTGATGGGGATCACAGCGGTGGAGATCCTGAATGCTTGTGATGAAGCCGTTCCTGCTGCTGTTGATTCCCTCAGTCATCCAGCAATCAACCTAAAACAAGCCATGACGAGACGCAGTCTTGCTGCCCTTAAAAACGTGGCCCACCATAAGCTACAAACCCTCGCAACTAACCTATTGGCATCTGAAGCATCGGACAAGGTAAGTTTTACATGGAGGGTCATGAGGTATGGAGGTCCCACTTCACTGCATTTGGGTGGGTCTTTGCTATGCGTTGGTGTGTCTTAGAGGACAATTTTTGAGAGATGACACTGTTGAAAAATAAACTTATGATTTTCATTTAGGTTTATCCAACATAGTTTGAGTAATTCTAGCATATGGGCAATGTGAAAAATAGATTTTTCTTACTATTGAAATATTTTAAAGTTATTCTGGCTGAATTAAGTGACTTTAGTTTCTGAAATTAGAGCAAACGTTGTATTGTAATCAGTCTGCTTGGCTTTTTAATAGTTTTTCTTTTAAGAGATTGAGCACTGCCTAATGTCTCCAGCAGGGAAAAAAAAAAGTCATTTAGGTACAACTAGGATGCCTGTAATTGTGACATAACATTTGTTTTAAAATTAGGTTCTGATTGTAGAAAGGTTAAGCCACTATAGGAATTTTAGAAAATACTTGAGAATAAGTGTGACGGAGTTGTACAGGACTGGAAATTTTCTGTGAGACTTAACTTCAGTGACACTTTCCTCACTGACACTTATAATCAATGCATACGTTACTTCTTCAGTTAACAGAAAATTATCCTATTAAAAAAAAAGAAACAATCTCAGTTCATTAATTGACTACTCATCTATGGTTTTCTAGAGCTAGCCACGGTGCGGTTTGTGGTTTTGGTGTAGTGGGGTCTTCTTAGAGCTAGTTTGTCTCTTCTGGTTCAGTGACACCTGGAGGCAATCCTAGTATTTCACGTGAATTACTATTTAAAATTCACCTTTCATCTAAATATTCCTTAGAGATATTAATGGAGAGCATTAACACTTTTATTTTCATCCTCTTCTTCTTGATTTTCAGTTTTTAAAAAATAATTAGACATGCAGATAAATAGCAAAGGGGTTGAAAGTCTCCTGTACAAAGTTGACAGTTACTGTGAGTTGGTGAGTGCCGGTGACATATGGGGTATGATGGGCAGTCCGCTGAGCCACTTCCTTTAGTAACTGGCAGTAGTACCACCCTTTATCATTCTTCCTTCTCTCAAACTTTATGTGTATTATCTGCTGTGCTGTGTTTCTCAGAAATTAGAATCGTGAAATTCTTCTGCATTTTTGCTTTTATTCTTTATGCTTTTAGTCACGCGCTCTAAAGTTTGAAAAGAAACCACAGCTTCAGTGGATTTGCCAGGCCTGTAATTTCTTTCCAGGAATCACATAGCTGTCCTTGGGAATTCATGCTATATAATTTTCATTTGGGGCAAATTTACAATATGCGGAGGGGCATGTATGTAGGTCAGACAACTCACAAATATATTCTTTTACTTGATGGAATCCCTTAGATGTAAACATTCGGAAAAATAATTATATAACTGGAAAATTAAAGAAACGTAAGTGGTACAGTAACAGTTATGAATGGCTTTTGTAAGTGGTCATGGTCCATTATGTGATTTTTACAATCTTGTTTGTCCCTGTTTTAATAGCGTATTTTATAGTGCAATTAGTGATAAAAGCACCAGATATCAGAGACACTACACTTAACGTATTGTAAAATAGATTGCTTGTAAACCTCCTTAGTCTTGTAGCAGTGGTAATTGTTGCCTGGCCTACAAGGAAAACAATTATAGAAGGGAGGAAGAAGGCTTAGGAAGCTGAGGCTGCAGGAGGATAATCACTTTATGAAAAATGTATGTTGGCTGCACTGTGGGGGATTTCTCATGTCGAGTTTGAGGCTCCTTCTGCAGGGAATACTTAGAGCTGTCCTCTGGATGGTTTTCTGACCTCTGACCAAATACCTGTCCCCCCCCCGCCCCCCTGCTTTGCAGTCTCCAGACCCTCTCTGTTCCCGAATGGCTTTTGCCCTGCGTTCAGTTTTGCATTGTCCCCTTTGATTTTGGTGAGTGTGGTGTCCAGATAGAACTCACTCTCCTTCCCACCATCTCTGTATTGTCGGTGTTCCAGGACGTCCTGGAATTATCTCAAGTTCATCCCCTCCTTTACTTTTGTTCCTTGTGACGCCATGGAGACCATGGTTGTTCATTTGAGAAGACCATCTGGGGATGAATAATTTTTTGTTGTAGTGTAATAGACACTGAGCAGCACTTCTCTCCCACCCATATCATGCCAGCAGCACCTCTCTTTCAGCAGCTGTGACAATCAAGTCTTTAGATGTTGCCAAGTTTACCCAGGAAGGCAAAGCTACTTCTGGTTTAACTCGACACCACTCTTTTCTCTGTTTAGCAGGCAACGATAATAAACAAGCAAGCAAACAAACACACACCACTCTGGGGAAAAAATGATTGGAGCAGTAGGAATCCTGCATCCAGTTGCCTCTTCCTTTCCCCCACGGCTGTCTTTACTCAAGCCATCCCCAGCTCTCATTTCCTCTCCCACCTCTGGCAGAATTCTTACAGTCTTTTTGTGTTTGCATGCTCCTCTTCATACCTTCCCTAAAACACTTTACACTTTGCATGGGCCATTTCCTCCCTCACCCCACTCATTTATTTCTGTCTTCCCTACTAGATTTTAGCTTCTTGTAGACAGGAATTGAGTTTTTCATCTTTTTATTTCCAGTGCTCTACGTAGTATGATTATACTATGTTGTAGTATAACTCTATGCAACATGGTATATACTAGTGAAAACATCGTAAGTGTTCAAGAAATTTGATAGGAAATTAGTTTAGAGGTGTAGCTTGGAATCATCTTGTGGAAGAACTTAATGCGGAGCTGAGGACTCAGGTCAGTGGGTGGTGACATGATGTTGAACGGGTTTTACAGATTTTGTTTAAGAAATATTTTGTCGCGTCTAACATATGTATGTGGGACTTTTATAAATGTTGATATGGAAACTGAATTTTGAGGCTACTGGAACGATCTGGTGAGAGGTAATAGAGACTGGAAATAGGGGTGAGCAGTGGAAATGGAGAGGAGGGAACGGCTTGCAGCTGTTGTGTAGATTGGATTCACAGGACTTCACAAATCAGTAGCACATGAGTGTGACATTCAGGATTATTTCAGAGACCCAGGTTCAGCTGAAGGGAGAATTGCAGTGGGGCGAATAGAAATGTGCAGACCAGGAAATAGGCTTTGAGGATGATTGTAACAGAGGACATTTGCCTCTTCTAGGTGGTGTTGGGAGATGGGGTGTGTGAGAGAGAGGAGCAAAATACCTTGGAGAAAGAAGTTACATGGTGAGAAGAGCAGGGACGTGAGTGCAGAACCTGAATTGGACAGCAGTTCCCATTTTGAGGTGCCTGCTATCATCAGATCTTTCCAGATATGCTACCTCCTGTTGCAACCCCTGTGGCCCTGGTCTCCATCGCTGCAGGCATGAGGGATTAGAAGTCTAAGCTTGCAGGAGGCGGGCTAACCTTGATTGCAGGTAGCCCCGAGCAACCTCCACAGTAGCCTTTTATTGAGATGGTACTTTGCAGGTGTAGGGAGTATTAGACAATGACTGTGTGCCTAAGGATCGCCAGAGGCTTGGCTCTTTCTCCTAAAGAACACCTGTGGATGAATTGCCTGAGGGTCCGCCCCCCAGCTGCAAATCATCTTGCTCAGAGGTCGTCTGGCTCTTGGTGTCCTCTACAACCTTCCCAGGGGGAGTGAGTTAGTATGCCCCCCGCCCTCTGTTTGCAAATGGTGCTCCTAAAAGACAGTTGGATAGAACAAGGATTGGCAAATTCTTTCTATAAATGGCTAGCTAGTTTTAGGATTTGTGGGTTATCTTTGTAATAGTGACTTGACCTCTGTGTTATGGGATGGAAACAGCCACAGACAATATGTAAAAAATGAGCACAGCTGGCTTCCAATAAAACTTTTTACAAAAGCAGGGTGTGGGCTGGGTTTTGACCCATGGTTGCAGTGTGCTGACCCCCGTGTCACAAGATGACATTATCAGTATCACAATTGTAGGTCTCCCATGGAATGACCTTTGCTTTGTTCTTAAAAAGCAGCTCAGAGGAGTAGTTAAGAACCTGGTTTCTCCTAACAAGTATGTCTGTGTTCACGTCATACCCCTGTACCTTGCCAGTTGTGGGTGACCTTGGGCAAGTAACCTTGAATGGTCTGTCATTTTTAAAACAAAATTCACACTTCCTACAGTGACCTATGAGGCCCTGCCTGATCAGACTTATGCCTACCTCATTTTATTTTATTCTTCAGCGCTTGATTATTCCAGTTGTAGCCATCTGACTCTTTAAAAAAATGGATATATGTTGAATAGATTAGTTAATGAGAAAAATGAATAAACTTGATTTAGTACCTTTTGACTATTGGTAATACCTTGTAAAAACTTGGGGTAAAATTTAAGATAGAAACTTGTATGTAACTTTATCCTTTAAGAAATAAATGCTTTTCAAGTTGTATCTTCAGATAATGTAATTGAGGGACAGAGTGTGGAATTGGAAAAAATGTGAAGATGGAACGCATACTTAGGTGGCAGAAAGAGATGAGCCAGTGAGAGGCAGAGAGAGAGATCCTAAAGGCAAATTCTAGCTCACACATACAATTGAGAACCAACCTTTGTAAAGGAAGAAAAGGCTGGCAGTTGATCAGAGAGTACAATGGCAAAGTATTGGTGAATAAAAAAGTATTTACATTTAGTTAAGTTGGAAAGTCATTGGTGGTCGTGAGGACAGCTGTTTTGATAGAGTTACTTGTGTCAGAACTTAGAGTACGAGGAACGAGAATGAATATGAGATGGAGTCAGGAAGGAGACGATGGGGAAGAAATTTGCTTTTGATGGAAAAAGAAGGTAGGTGGCTGGAGAGTTAACGGCAGGGTTTATAATCTGTTTCGATCACCGAATTTTGTGTTGGTGGAGAGCGTGATTGGTGCAACAATGTAGGAGGATGTGGTGGTAAGAACAGAGCTGGAGAGTTCACCCTTACTAGGAATTATTTCCTTGTAATTGGTAATAATGGAAGAGAGGGAGTTGAAGATATCAGGTTATTTGCAGTGGAAGAGGATACAATTAGGGGTTACATAGGTTAAAAG